GCATGTGGTGCTGGGGGGATTGAACCGTGGTCCCTGTGCTTTGCTAAGCTTGTTCTAAGTAGGTGCTTTAGACCACTGAGCCATCTCACCAGCCCCACCATGCATTTCTTGATTATAATTTTATCTGTTTTGTTTTGAGACAGGATCTTCTGTGCAGTTCAGAATAGCCTTGAACTCACAGTGTTCCTCCTGCCTCAGCCTCCCAAGTGTTAGGATTACAGGCATATGCCACCCTGCCCAGTACTTGGTTGCAGTTTTACACTAAATCTTTAATGCAATATGATAAAATTAATGAAAAGTAAAAGAATCCAGAATTGTAGAGATCACATAGATGCTACAGTCATGTCTACCACAGTTACTTTGCCTATAGGAGAGTGTTATCAAGTGTTCTACAGATATTTGGGTACCAGGGAGGATTCTTGGAACAGTGGTCTTGGTATCTGCTGAATTGAAGAATAACAACCTCTCCTTCCACCAGGCTGTGAAACTCACCAGTTCTCGAACCCAATTACCTTACGAATACTACTCATTGCCTTTCTGCCAGCCCAGCAAAATAACCTACAAGGCAGAAAATCTGGGTAAGTTCCACTCTCACATTATTTCAGCTTGTCCCATAGGGGAACCCAGTGTGATTTTCCTAATAATGATACCCTTGGGCCAGGGATATAGCTCAGTGGCACAGCACCTGCCTGGCAAGTGCAAGGTCCTGAGTTTGACTCTCGGTAAATAATAATAACAATAATAATAATAATAAATGATAACCCATGTTATTTATACTAGACATTGTTGTATATAGCTTACATGCTTAGCAGCTTATTTCTTCCTTAGAATGGCCATGGTAGGGTAGTTGCTAGAAGTCTCCCCCCTGCCCCATTTTGCAGACTGAGTATTTTACCTTTGGTTGTATTCTTAGTCAATGACTAAGCTGGGCCTTGAGTCCATGTGGTCATTCTTCAGAGTTGCAGCACTTGGCTTTTGTTCAGATTGGCTTTCTCCTGATTTCTTTTTTCTTTCTTTTTTTTTAATAGACATTAATTTTATTTATATTTATTTTATGCTTAATTTATTCCCGTGCCATAAGTTTTTGTTTTCTCAGTTTCTTCTGGGATATCGTTTTCTTCTGTACAACTTCCTCCTCTGGTTTGGGAACAGTTTGTTCCTTTTCAGTAAGGATCATCTCAATATGGCAGGGGAGCTCAGGGATGGGTTAATCCAGCCATGAACTCTATAAGTACGGTGGCCCATCTTGGGTGCTTTGCTCACCAGATATGTTCAATAACCAGAGAATCTACATCTAAACCCTTAAGCTCAGCATTACTCTCTGCATTTTTAAGCATGTACAGTAAAAATTCAGCACTCTTTTTGGGCCACCAACCCTCTGTCCAGCCCCACTGTTTGGCCTGGGCACACCTACCACCTCTACCACTGTAACGCCAGAATGGTACACATTGCTTCTTTAATGTGACATCCTTGAAATACGTGTTGGCCTTTTGGATATGCATACCCTTGATGGCCTGGGCAGTTTCATGTGCGTTCTTAAAATGAATGTGAAGATTTGAGCTTCTTGATTTGCATGATTTTGTGGGGTTTTCTTTTTTTTTGTGGGGTTTTCTAGGTCGAGAGAGTAGTGAACCATTGTTACAGGTCACCTATGGCCGTTCTCAGGAAGAGCTTGATTTCTTGATAATCCCTTGTCTGGTAGCTTCTGCCACCTGCTCTACGTTTAATTGGAAGTGCTAGTAACCAACTCTGCCCTAAAAGAAGTAGAAATGTCACCATACTTGCTAAGCTGCACAAGAGTTGTCTCAAATCTTCACGTTCATTTTAAGAACACACGTGAAACTGCCCAGGCCATCAAGGGTATGCATATCCAAAAGGCCACCACGTATTTCAAGGATGTCACATTACAGAAGCAATGTGTATCATTCTGGCGTTACAGTGGTGGAGGTGGTAGGTGTGCCCAGGCCAAACAGTGGGGCTGGACAGAGGGTTGGTGGCCCAAAAAGAGTGCTGAATTTTTACTGCACATGCTTAAAAATGCAGAGAGTAATGCTGAGCTTAAGGGTTTAGATGTAGATTCTCTGGTTATTGAACATATCTGGTGATATGTTGTCTCAAATAGTGTATGAAGCACCCATGTAGCATCTGGCGCAGGGGTTCCATAAATAGTGACCATTTTATTCTAGCTTAAATAATTCTCCATTTCACAGAATTTCAAGCTGTAAGGAAAAGAGGCATCCATTCAGGACACAATTATTACTGCTTCCTGTCTGCATGTCTTATGTTAAGTCCTGGAGAAAAAAGTGTGGACAGATGGTCTCCCTGATCTCAAGGACCTCAGAAGACTTTATACCTCTCTTATACCTAAGAAGAGAACTAGTTCTTGGCCAGGCTTCTGAAATGGCCACCTTCTCTGTTTGGTGCTCCCATGTCTCAAATGTGTCTTGAATCCCTGTCTGCCAAGTGTCCCTACTGCCAGCTATTGGAGATCTCATACCAATGGGGCAGGCCTTGGGGCCAGTTTAAATGAGAACAAGCATCATGCCTTCCCTCGATGTCCCCCGTGCGTGAGCCAGGCCCTATTCCAAGCATTGGTGTGATTTGCCTTATTTAATTCTCTCAACACTTTGTGAAGTAGATTCTTTTGCTATCTCCTTATTGTAGAGAAGGAACATGTGACACAAGGCAGTGATGTCACTTGCCCCAAGTCACTTACCTAGAAAGTGACAAGATCTTGGAGGTTCTGGCTTCTGAGTATACACCCTTGAGCATCACACCCTGTACACTGTCCTCCTTGACTTCATGCAGTAGTTCTGCAAGCAGAGCACCACTGCCCTCATTTCAGAGCGAAGGAAACAGTGATTAGTAGAAGGAGTAGAGCTTTTTAACTTATTTTTTAAGGTAAGACAGGTTTTTTTTATAAAAAGCCTTTCTGGTGTCCTGACTGCCTTCTCCAGAAAGGTTCACTGGGGCTGCTTGTGAGTTGTGCTTGTGACTTTCACAATGATGATAATTCATACCATGGTGTAGGTGTTGGAGCACCTCTGGCAGGAATGCTAGTGTATGAGAGCAGGCACTCTTAGAGGGTCCTGTCATGTTTTGTGGCTTGATAAAAGATATTTCTAACTAGGCATGATAGTGTGCACCCATAATCCCAACTACTCTGGAGCCTGAGGCAGGAGGGTATCTTGAGCCCAGAGTTTCAAGACCAGCCTGGCATCACAGCAAAACCCTGGTTTCAAATTAATTAAATGTATAGACATAATGCATATATTCATATAGACTTTGAAATATTTCTGTGTTAGAAATGAGACATTGCAGCCCAGTATGTCCTTGTTCTTGGGTAAAATTTAATTTCTCTTGTCTAAATTTCAAGAAATAATACCACCTCATTTGCTCCACAGCTGATTCCTCTCTGTAGTTCCTCCTCTCATTAAGCCAGTTCTTGTTGACCTGCAAAGAATCTGGTGGTAGGACATATGAGGAAAGAGCCCAGGGCCCTGACACTACCACAGTCCTGTTGGATGATCACTTGCTCTTTGGCCCTTAGCTTATCATCTGTAAAATGCCATTTTGTTAGTGAACCATGCAGGTGTCCTATTGATATTTCTGCTCCCCACTGACCAGTCCATCCATGGATTTTGCAGACTCATCTGCACTGCCAGGCTCTTCGAAGTGGTGAAGTGGGGAAAGGCCTTCATCCAGACCTTTTTTGGCTCCCTCCCTTTCTTGGGTAACCTCATCCATACTTGAGACATTGTTTGCCATGCTGCCCTCCATACCTCAGTGACAATGGTGCAGCTTTTGGCTTTTTGTGAGTTGTGCTTGTGACTTTCACATTGATGATAATTCATATTGTGGTGTATGTGTTGGAGCACCTCTGGCAGGAATGCTAGCGTATGAGAGCAGGCTTTTGGCCACCTCATAGCAACAGCTCTCAGCTCAGCCCTCTCCTCTTATCTGCAACTTAAATCTTGACATCTGACTATCTATTTGACATATCAAACAGAAAATGCCTTCCATCTAAATATGCTGTTTTTCCTGATTTCCCACCTAGAAGCTCAAAGAAGTCTGCATCTTCTCGGCATGCACCACTCCTCTGTCATCCCAGTGTCAAGTCAACAGCAGGTCCTTCAGGTTTCATCTCCATCTTGCATGAATCTGTGTTCTGCCTTAGCCTCCGTACATGTTCCCTTCATGCCCCCAACTTTATTCACTTGTATGACTGGTGCCATCTTCCAGCTCTTCGCATCCTCTTGTTTTCTGCACAAAGCATTCAGGGTGATCTTTCCAAAATGAGCATCAGACATCTCCCCATCTCTCATTCATGCTTGTTGCTCTCTAGGTACAGCTCAAACTGTGACCTGAAGGGCCCATCGGGTCCAGCTCTGGCCCATCTCTCACTTGTCTTTCTACTTATCCTGGTCTCTGGCTCATCAAGCTCTGCTTTGTAACCACACCAACCACTCTCTGGTTTGACACAATATATACCTTCTTATTTTGTCTCAGCTGTTCTCCCCACATCACTTTGTGCAGTTAAGTTCTGTCTTCCATCAAAGTATCCCAAGTGCTACTCTACTACTTCCTTAGGAAAACTTTTCTAGACCCACTTCCCTCTGTTTATAGTCTGTGGTTTTCTGTTGTTTTCTTTTCTTTTCTTTTCTTTTTCTTCTGTTGTTGTTGGTACTGGGGATTGCATCCATACTAGGCAAGCACTCTACCACTGAGCTATATCACTATCCCTTTTTGGTTTTTTGAGACAGGATCTCGCTAAATTGCCTAGAGCAGCCTTGAACTTTCAGTTCTCCCTTAACCTCCCAAATGTCCAAGATTATGGGCATATGTCACCATGCCAAGCCCACAGTATATTCTTACTTTGCTGATTATTTAATCAAAATCTGTCTTCCTCCTAGGCCAAAAGTTCTCTGATTATGTCTATTTAATACTGTATCTTCAAGACCTGGCCTATAGCTAGAACCCAGTATGTGTCTGTGAGTGAGTGAGTGAGTAAGTGAACAAATAAATGATGTCTGAATGACAAGGCATTCAGAGCCATGTCAAGTAGCTCCTTACTATAAGCAAATGGGGGCCACGGGCATAAGGAGGCATTAGTCTTGTCTGTTGGCTTCAGTCAGTCTCCATCAGTGCATCCTGGTCACATGTCTCCACAGCAGAATAAAAGCACACTTGGGCTTAGCTGATGCTCCCTAGCTGCTCACCACCTGTTAGGGTGACACCTGGCAGCAACAGGAAAGCCTGCAAAGGATGTGCCACTTCATGTAAAAAGATATTTTGGCAGGCCTGGCATGCCAGCCCCACCCCTTTTCCGCACTGAGAGGGCAGTTGAGACTGGCATGGTGGCGTGCACCTGGAATCCCAGCTCTTGGGAGGCTGTAAACAGGCAGATCACTATGAGTCCAATCTAGTAGTGAGACCCTGAACACCCTGTAGACCCTTCCCTGAAATATTAAAACAAAAAAAAAACAAAAAAAAAAAGATATTTTGGCCAAAAAACTCAAGTGGCTCATTTTACCCCATTTCTTCCCTGCCTGAATTAGCATCTGAAGACACAAAGATAAATAAGAAACAGTGTCTCCCCTAAGGAGCTCGTGACCAACCAGCGATGCTGGCACATGTCTGTCTGTGATCCTAGCACTGTAGAGACTGAGACAGAAGGAGGATTGCCAGCTGAAGCCCAGCCTAGGCAACTTAGGACTTCACAAAACCCTGTCTCAAAAACTGAAAAGAAGGGCTGGAGCGGTAGCTTCGTGTGAAAGCCTGGGGTTCAGTCCATAGTACCACCAAAAAACGAAAGAACTCCCAGGTGGAGGAGACAAAATTGTATCACTGGTGCTAGGCATAGTGGTCCATGCCAGTAATCCCCACACTTGGGAGGCTGAGGCAGGAGGATCACTATGCCAGCCTGAACTGCATAGCAAGACCCTGTCTCAGAAAAAAGTTGTATTGCTGACACATGAAAAGGTAGAGAGGTGATAAAAATAGTGTTCGCTGCCTGGCTGCTCTGTGCCTGGACTTGGATTAATGCTTTTATTTCTTACTATATCTCTATGAGGCAGGTGTTATAACCACCCTAATTTACAAGTGAGGAAATTGAGGCTTTGCAACATTGACTTGCCAGGACTGCTGAGCTCCTAAGTGCGAGAAGCAAGGTGCGATACCAGGTCGCATGGAATCAGACCTGTCACTCTTCACTATTCAGAAGGAAATCAGAAAGCCAAGAAAGCGGAGGAAAGCTGAGCTTAAAGCCAGGAGCACAGGACAGGGAATGACACTCCAGGCAAAGGAAGCCACCTCAGGCCCAGAGGTTTGGAAGGATGTGGTACATTTGAGCTCCAAGGAGCTGGTGGTGCTAGAGCACAAAAGAGGGCAGAAGGGAAATAGGGAATGCTCGATGAACAGCTGGGCACAAATAGATAGGACAGAAAATGCACTGCTGGGCTGAGGAACTGCTAAAGTCCATGAAAGTTCATTTTGTCCTGCTATCTCATGTCTTGGGACTGCTTACCTCAGCAACCTCAGGGCTAAAGCTCTGAGCTTGATCTGTCTTTCTTATGGCAGGAGAGGTGCTGAGAGGGGACCGGATTGTCAACACCCCTTTCCAGGTTCTCATGAATAGTGAGAAGAAGTGTGAAGTTCTATGCAGCCAGTCCAGCAAGCCAGTGACCCTGACAGTGGAACAGAGTAGGCTTGTGGCCGAGCGCATCACAGAAGACTACTATGTCCACCTGTAAGTTGTCCTCTGAGGTCTGCTGGCCTCACATCCCCTGAGGGGAGGGTACTGGTCAGAGAGGCTGTTCAAAGGGACTCAACAGGGCCTTGGGTTTCCAGCATTGCTGACAATCTGCCTGTGGCCACTCGGCTAGAGCTGTACTCCAACCGTGACAGTGACGACAAGAAGAAGGAAAAAGATGTGCAGTTTGAACATGGCTACCGGCTTGGCTTCACAGATGTCAACAAGGTAGAGTGTCTCTGGTCTGGTGTGCACAAGGAGCTGAGGAATTACACCTCACGGATCACAAGCACTTGGGACCACAGAGGAGGGGGAGGGTTAGGCTCTGGGCTTTTAACACAGAACAGATGGGGGTCTCCTGAGGAGATGGTCCCTTGGGTATGCATGCTTTGGACAGTCTCTGGAAGATGCTTCAAGAAGCTAAAGGGGGCTGAGGAGATAACTCAGTAGTATAAGCACCTGCCTGGCAAGCACAAGGCCCTGAGTTCAATCCCCGGTACTGAAAAAAAAAAAAAAAAAAAAAAAAAAAGAAGCTAAAGGCACAGTCATGTTAGATTCCATTTTCATGTGATTCAAACAAGTGAAATCTTGAACTTCATCACTGTGCAGGAGAGAGGACCACATAGTGATGAAGAGCCTGCAGTCTCCCTAGTTTGACTCCTGCCCCCTCCACTTACTAGCTGCCTGTATTTCCATATCTATAATGGATGTGATAATGCCTTATGCAGCTTGCTTTCTGGATGGTTTTGCAGAGTAAATCAGACAAGTCTTTCTGAGCATTTCACAGCACAGCCCTAGGAATAAGCTGTTATCATGATGATTGTAGCCATGTTCTCTTCATATCTAGTTTTCTAAGCTAAACATGTATTACTTGGAGAATAAGGGAGAAAAACCTTTCTTTTGAGGCACAGTTCCTGTCCTCAATAGACTTCTGTCCTAACTGGGAGGGAATCAGCAGAGTGGGGCCCTAGGTCTTAAATTTCATTTGTCCACTCCTGACTGTCAGTGCCAGGGGAGTTGAGAGGGAGCACATTGTGCATTCAGTGTCATGGAGGAGGTGGCAGGCCTTGGAAAGTATCTAGGCTTGAGCTGAGTGAAGGTAGGGGTGGCATCCTCTTTGGAGTGCATACCATGATCAGAGATGCAGGATAGGGACTGTTCATGGGGCAGAAAGAGCTGGGGATGCCAGGGAACTAATGTGTATTAGAAGGTAATGAAGGCCAGCTGTCTCATTTACTTTTTTCTCATTGCTGGGACGAATACCCAACACTCAAAATTAGGGAAGGAAAGGTTTATTTAGCTCAAAGTCAGTGGAGGTTTCAGTCCATACTCAGCTGACTCCAAGGCAGAGTGGCACATGGCACAGAGAGTAGCCATTCATGGCACAAAGAGCAAGACAGCTAGAGCAAAAGGGCAGAGGCAGCAGCAACACTGGCTACAGAGAGCAAGTCTGTCTCCCTTATGTTGTACTCATGGTATCTGCCTCAGGCCAGGTGTAGCACTCACACCTATAATCCCAGCAGCATTTACACCTGTAATGCCAGCACTATATCATGAATTAATCACAAAGTCTAGAAGTCTGCCCCATGACTGCATGAGGCTTTGGGGGGACAACTAGATACAAACCATAACACCAGCTGTTTCAGAATCACATGATAGAAGAAGCTAAGGAACTTGAGTTTATATCTAGTAAGCCCCAGGGAGGCCTGGAGAGTTACCAAGTGGAAGGGTGGTATGAAAGCACTTGCTTTAGAAGGTTAGTACAGCCAGGCTTGTAGAACAAGGGGAAGGACCCAGTGTCTGCGGTGTTTTCCCCAAGTGACTTTACAGTTCTTTCTTGGCTGCTAGCTGTTTTGTCCTTTCTGTTGCTTCATTTCAGATTTACTTGCACAATCACCTCTCATTTATCCTTTACTACCACCGGGAAGACATGGAAGAGGACCAGGAACATACATACCGTGTGGTCCGCTTCGAGGTGATTCCCCAGAGCATCAAGCTGGAGGGTGAGTGGGGAGGTCTGACTAAAGGGACAGGGCTGAATGGGCCTGGGCTTCATACCCAGGGTCTTCTCACACTTCTCCCCTAAACTGGCTGCTAGGCCTAGGTGTGGTATATGAGTCCACCAGGAAGGGTGTCATTATATTCTCAATAGAGAAGGTGGCTAACGAGGGACACCTGACATCTGCTGTGTCATGGGCTGGGCAGTTTACTAGCTTAACATCTCCCAGCAACCCCAGGAGCTATGTAGTGATTATAAATGAGGAGCCAGAAGTTCAGAGAGGTTAGTGACTTGGCCAGGACCAAATATATTACAAGTCAGAGCTTTACTGAGCCTCTTCACAAGAAGCAGCCAGCTCACCCTGGGTCAAAGAACAAAGGAGACAACAAGAAGGGTGGGGACAGACTAGCTTCATAGGCAGCAGGTGTCTTCTTTCAGTCCCACTGTGCGAGTGACTGGCACAGACTAAAATTGCCCAGTGTCAACAATTGAGTGGGAGTTTGAGAGCCCAGCTAGTGCTCACAGACCTCATAGGCCTGTCCTGCTTCACCTCTCCTCTCTGCCCTCACCTGTCACAGGGTGTTCTTCAGCTAAGCTGTAGGCCTGGCCTTTGTACACAGTGGTGATTTTCTGGCTTTTTCAGAAATCTGTGGAACATAGCTTTCAAACAGAATCATACACATGAGCCTCATAAATCATAGATGTCCTATTTAAAAGTACCATGCTGCCTCCTTCCATGAGTGTCATGAGCACAGTTCATGTTTATGCATGTGACTATTGTGAGATTTCTGTTCCTGCAGTGATTGAGATTAGAATCTCTGTCTACTTTTTTTTTTTTTTTTTTTGGGGGGGGGGGGGGGGGGGTCTATAGGGTGTTCAGGGTCTCACTACAAGATCGAACTCGTAGTGATCCGCCTATTTACAGCCTCCTAAAAGCTGGGATTACAGGCGTGTGTCACCATGCCAGGTCACAGTTGCCATCTCAGCACACCCTGGGAACGAGGTCAGCATGGCAGGCCTGGGGATCAAACCCCTAGACCCTGCACCTGCTTGCAAGCACTTTAATCTACTGAGCTATTTGGCTGACCCCATCCATCTACTTTTCTCACCATTTTATCTCCAGCACCCAGCACAGTACCTACCTTGTAGTTTGGTGTTTGTGGTATGTTTACTGGCAAAAAGAAGGGGCTGGATGGTAGAGGGAACAAATGAGTAAATGGGAAAGCAGCTGCATGATTGATTACTAACATGTCAGAAACCATCTGTGTGAATGAGCAAATGTGACAGAATGACCTTGGTTGTGGTAGATTTTGAATGGGCCTGGATGAATGAGTTCACGTTGAGATTACAAGAAATTGATCATGAAGGAGATCTGAACTGTGAGTTCCCTCCCTCGCTTCCATACACAGTCTGTCTGCAGTACTAAAGGCCCTTTGAAAGGTCAGGACTTTCGGGAATATAATTTCCAAAGCCATTCTTGCCTATTTTGCTCCCAGTTCTACTCAGAGACCAGGGACCAGCAGCAGGCATCTTCAAAAGCGCTTGCAGAACAGCCTTGGGTAGTGGCACTGACCACCATGGGAACACTGAGTCTCTGTTTCTCATAGACCTTAAAGCAGATGAGAAGAGTTCATGTACCCTGCCTGAGGGTACCAACTCCTCACCCCAAGAAATTGACCCTACCAAGGAGAATCAGCTGTACTTCACCTACTCTGTGCACTGGGAGGTGAGAAGGGGTGTGAGCTCACAGATGGGGTGGGAGGGATCTGATCTGGGCCAAGATTTGCGAACAGGAGGCCTGATTCTCAAGGACTTCTGCCCCACCAGGAAAGTGACATCAAATGGGCCTCCCGCTGGGACACTTACCTGACCATGAGTGATGTGCAGATCCACTGGTTTTCTATCATTAACTCCGTCGTGGTGGTGTTCTTTCTGTCAGGTAAGAGTTCTGTGTGTTGAAGAGTAGAGAGGACAGAGAGGTGGTGTTGAGGAACCAAGACATCCAGTCACTAATAGGGATTTCTAGGGTGTTCCCAGGGCCAGGCATCAGGACCCTATTGCAGGCATCAGGTGACAGACATGGACAAGTTTTGGGCTCTGCCTTGGAAACTTCACTAGAGAAAGATGGATACAAACTGTTGATACACATGATCATTGATTCATTCAACAACACTTTATTATTGCTTCTTTTGTATGGTGGTGGTGGTATTAGGGAGTCTAGGCCAGGGTCACTGAGCTACACCCCAGCCCTGTTGTAGCTCCTTCTGTGCCAGATGCTAGGCATATGGTATTGAGCAAACCAACCCAGTATTTGTTCTCTTAGGTAGCTATGTGGCCAGGTCCTATTGGAGGAGGACACAGAACACAGTGCATTCTTGGCTCACAGATCTTTTTCCCACCCCTGTCTGTTTCAGGCATCCTGAGCATGATTATCATTCGGACCCTTCGAAAGGACATTGCCAACTATAACAAGGAGGATGACATTGTACGAGGTCTTGGCTAGGGTGGGATGGATTGGTAGAAGGAGGGTAGTCTAGCTGACGTGTGTGTGTGTGTGTGTGCGCGCATGCGCGCGCACATGTGCATTTATAGCTTCCAAAATACTAAAAATAATGAAGAGAGGGCTGGTGAGATGGCTCAGTGGTCTAAAGCACCTACTTAGAACAAGCTTAGCAAAGCACAGGGACCGCGGTTCAGTCCCCCAG